CAGTGATTTCTTCGCAATTTATTCACCAATTACAACACAATTTCTTTGCAATTTCTTCTACGTATCGATTCAGTCGGCAAATAAACAAATTAAAAAATCAGTAAATATACATAATTAAAAGCTAATATATAAATTATCCGGATAAATCATATAAATTCACTTATATTTAATAGTCATTTGTTATTTAAGCTAGTGGACAGCTAAGAAAAAGTTATTTTTTATATTTTTTTCTTACTTAGCATGGTTATGTTTTGATTTATCCAGATATTTTATAAATTAGCTAATATTTTGTGTTAAAATTACCGGTTACTGGATTATGTTGATTGTTATATTAGTTAGTAAATGGATATTATTTAAAGTATACTTAATTACTTATGTATCATTGAACCTGTGACTAAGTATGTACAATGTAGTTAATATTTTGTTGACTAACCAATAATGTCTAGATTGTTAGAACTAAAATTGAATGGTTATATTCTGAGTTATTCGGTTAACTCTAATAAAGTATAAAAATAAAAGATGATAGCCGGATAATAATAAACATGTTAGTCCACAAAAGAAAGTGTTTTGTTTTCTTTTATACTTATCCGGCTACATAAGCTTTCCAAAATCTACATGTTTGGAACGACAAAGGGATTGTTTTGTTTTCTTTTATACTCACATAATGCACATACCTTTCAATTACACTCAAAATCATTCTCAAGCACGCACCTTTCAATTACAATCAAATCACATTAAAGCACATAAGAAGAATCAACGTTTGCGGGATATGGTTCCTCAGCCCCGAGGGCATCGCGAGGCACAAGGTACAAAGCAAAATCAGTCATCTAAGCCAGAAACTCCATGAGCTACTTGCAGTAAAATCGAGTGACGTGAGCTAGGAACATGGCTCTATTGCCGAGGCCTTTGGCGACAAGGGTCGGAACCGATGCCTCCGACGAAAGATATGCTGAGACACATTTGATTTTGTCTGTTTGTAGATTAATTGGACTTCTGTTTCACAACCACCTGGAACACATTTGATTTTGCCTTTGAGGATGGAGAGACTGAGCTTCTCGGAGCTCTGGCGTACGACCTAGAGATCCAGACATAGTTGGAGGTTTTGCGTGAAAAGATAGAGAGAGAGAAAGAAACAAGTTATTTTTACTTTCTCCGTTAGGTGTAATAATTGGGCTATAGGAAAACACATAGGGGCACTATGGCCATTAAAAAAAGACACATCACCCTAAATGACATAAATCCATCTATGCTAATTATCAACTTATGTGTGTATACCCAGTGCAATTTCTCATTTAGAAAAGCTTTACAATATATGCGAATGGATTAATCTAATTACCTAAAATATTTTTTGTTTAAAATAATCATAATACAAAATTTAAAATTTATATACATATTTCAAATCAAAAGAATAATTTAAAACTAATTTATAGAATATTTTGATTCTAATATATATATATATATATATATATATATATATATATTTAAAAATTGATTTTTACTAAAATATTTTCCAATAGCGATTATAAAAAAAGTTTTCAATATATATTAAAAATATAATACAAAGCCCAATTTCAAGCACCACTTAATATTGTAGTTTTTATATTTCACATTGAAATTTTAAAATATAATTTATATGATTATTTATATTAAGGTTGTGAATTTGATTCTTTACACATGGACTCCGTCCTGTTTGACTCACTGGAGGACCGGTAAAAATAAACATATTTTGAAAATAAGTGAGGAGAGTGCGGGTTTAGTATATTTTATGTGGAATGGGTGTGGATCAGTCGAATTTAAACTACGGATACCCACCAACTTGCAAAATATTTTTTTTTAAAAGACAATTTTTTAAATGAACTACACAAGTAGGTTGACAAGAGAACTACACCCGTGCGGGCGCACGGGTCAGTATCTAGTATTCTTTTAAATCTTATCGCGTACAAATGATGCATGTTCTATGGTTTAAGAACGTATGATATGGTTTGTTACGCAAAATAAATGTACGTAATTCCAATTTTAAAGTTACATGTTCAATGATTTACATATTATTTTTTGTGTTTGTATACATTTAGGCTTAGGGTTTCATATTCCATATAGTTAGGGCACAATTTAAGGTTTTATCGTTTGATATGTCATTTAGATATTTAGAATATTATGAAATTTAATTGTTTGATAGCCATATTTAATTTAAATTTTTGCTTTGATATTGTTTACAAAAAGAGAATATCTCAAGGTATATTCTATAATTCGTAGCTAAACATTTAAATACTTAGCCATGAAAGTACAAACACAACTAATCACAGAGTAAATCATCATAACAATGGAAATAAGTAATAATGAGGGTTCATAAAGCTTCTCTGAAACAGAGTATAAAATTATCTTCCTGATGGAAAAATCTCAAGAGCAATGTAAAACCAAAAATAAAAAGAAATGTAGCCTAAACAAACTGAAAGTGAGAGTAATTCTAGTTTTTTTCATGGTCGAATTTGATGCTAAAACAAACAAAAAATAATAAAAACTGAAATTATTTTTTCGTATTGGATTGACAAGCATATCAATAAAACGCGTATAACTTTGATCTAACCATTGAATCAATTTCAGACCAATACTATTTGACAGATAACTGAATTTTCTAATTTATATTAAATATTACAGAAATATATCGGAGAAGACATTTATCCATTGTTAACTTCTGGTGAATCTGCATAATTCTATATTTATAATATTTCTTCTACATCTAATTGGACACAAATTGACATGAATCTTTAAAAGATTCAAAAACACATATTATGAATTGATTAACTATTAAAAAGGTTAGAAATCGACAAAAAATATAGTTTATCATTGTCTAAGATTAGTCGATTAAATCTTAATTTTTGGGACTTTTATTTTATATAATAATAATTGTTGTTGGATCAATTAAACTTGTTTAGTCTGCTAGGAGTTGTTTTGTTAAAATACGTTAGTAGTCTGAATTTTTTTTGTCAACCTAATAAAGCACATAGAATGATTTACATAACAAGTTAAGTATGTTAAACTATGAGCAACATTACATAGTCGATATTCCAACCGATAATTCATCTGTTTTATGTGAATTCACGTCTGACTGCATTACCTTTAGCTGTCCTATAAGATTCATTTCTGATTGTACTTCTTACGTCATGCTGAAGATTTCTTATAAAAAATTTATTCTATTTTCTGCATAATTTTTTTTTTCAAAGAATCGAAATTGAGACCTCTTGTAATCTGGGATTCGAACCCTAGACTCGGATGTAACAACCTTTAAAATCTTGACCACTAAGTTACGATACTTCTACAAAAAGATATATTTGTACAATCTGTTACGAATGTTACTTTGGTCATGTAATATACATTCATATATTTGATAGCTCGAATTAAAGTTTTAAACACTGCATGTAATGGTGACATGCTATGCTCCATGTTTTTAGCCCTCATCATCGATTATTGTACTCTCTCCTAGCTTTTTGGAATGATGAGCTTTACGTGTGGATTATCATGGTTTATCGGAAAAAAAAAATTAACTAGCAAGGTGGTGGTGGATAGATTTTATGGAGATGAAGAGCAAGCTGGTTATGCTTTTACCGTAGAAGTTTATTATGCTCTTTTGAAAATACACTTATAGGGAAACCTGATGAATAATTTAAGGTTTTGAGTTAATGAACTTATGCAATTTGAACATTTTATACAATATATATGTTACTAGAACTGAAGTACCAATGGAATTGTTTGTAAACATGGATAGAAATATTAAATAAGATTATATTTGAAACATGGAAAACAATATTAATAAGGCATTAACCAAAATTGTATCTTATTTTGTTTCTAATCACATTTACAATAACTCAGCCCGAATCATAATTATAATTTCAGTTTTATTGAGATGATGGTTATTATGTTGTTTAGAAAAATTATTTGAGAAAATATATTTTATATTGTTAAAAGAACATTTTTTCTTTATTCATGTAGAACATAAAATTCACTTGCGTAATAGAGATTTTATCTATATAAATTCATCAAAATGTATTGCATATTATTATTTATTAAACAATAAACATTTCTATATGATAAATAGATTATGAGAAATATATGATATATCTGCCAATTATATACACATACTTAAATGATCACATTTACATCCTACAACATGTTTTGTAAATATAATTATATAAAATTCATTATATGATGAAACATATAAAATGTAAAACATTTATAATAAAAGGCAAATATAAATTTATATAAAAAAATAAAATTTCGCGAACAATTACACTGCAAAATGGTGACAGGTCAAAAATAAATAATAGTTACTTGAAAAAACATAAAGCAATATATATAAAACAAACATTGGCGCGAAAACGCGGATTAAGCTCTAGGACTCATTTAAATCTTAAACCTGCATTTAACTCGAGTCTTTAGTTATCATAAGTTTAATAAATTAAATCTAAAATTTTTACCAAGATATTATTTGATAATTGTTTTTGAGAAATGGATGCTATGTATATGAATTATAAATTTATGTTTACTCAAATATCTAATCTATCAAATCAGGATTCTATTTTTATCTATTATAGAGAATCATACTAAGACCATTACATTAATTAATATATTTTATTTAAATATTTACATTAATCATTCAAATATATAACATTTCTAAAAAAAATCATGAAGATATTAATTAAATCAATTTGAGATATACATTTAAATTTTATTTTTTCAACAAAATTTGTTGAGAAAAATCTAAATAAAGTTTTAAATATGTTTTTGTAAAATATAGCATTTATGTATATATTTTAAGCGATTTATTCATTATATAATCTTACAAACTTGACAGCGGAACAAACCCACAACAAAGACATGATCTCAGTATTGTCAAAATATTAAAATTCTAAAGTGATGTCCAAACATCCCTTCAAAATCAGAAGATACGTCTAAATGAAAATACATAATTTTCTATATGATATGGATTGCGAAGTATACTCAAATCAGTGTCGTCCCTGAGAGTGTCCAACGCCTGGGCTGTTGCCAGGATTTGTAGGCCTAAAGTCTGTGGGGTGGGTGATGACTAGCTTTCGAAGAACACTACGCCGTGTATATGCAAACCCAATGCTAGGATTCTCAGCCACAGATTTCTTATATGGTCGCTCAATCTCTAACGAAGTAGTTTCTATGTGTCTCTCTTCTGTATTCTGAATTCCATGTAAAACAGCCAATCCAAGGAAAAAAATACATGTAAAAACAGACATTTTCATGAATCACGGACAAAGTCTGAGAAATATAACAATGTGTAGTAACAAAAATGAAAAAGAGAAATGCTTAAGTTAGATACAAGAACATAAGATGGAAGCAAGGGGAATGAATCTTTTTTGTATTTATAAAGGTAATAAAATAGAGGAAGCTTTCACTGCTTATCATTGTGTTAAACATTAGGAAAACTTACTTCAAATGGGGAAATGATGATGTTTTATGATGTCTGAGTATATAATGTAAACCAGGTGATTTATACCTCGATATGTTTCCAACTTTGCATGTCTGTTTTCATATGTATACATGGCCCATGCATTTACATGCATGCTCAGTTTTCTCGTCAACATTTTTTAGATCACGACCATGTTATTACAAAGATTTATTTGGGATGTCGACAAGAAAATATAAATGTATATGATATTGTTTAGTTGTGAAGGCAAATCTTTTGGATCCAATCTTTGATCTGCGAACGGTTGGCATACGTCAGCAAAGGATTTTATTTAAAGATATTTTGAATATTTAAGTACTAGTTAGTAATTCGCACTATACGCGGAATGAGATACTTTTTTTAGGTTATTTATTGTATTTTATACTAAAGAATTTGTTGTATTTTATGGATGTGCATTCATATATCCATTCGAATTAAGTTAATCTATTCATATTTTTAGAGTTAAAAATTTAAGTTATATTCAAATATTTATAAATTTTGGTTAAGATTTGGTTCAAATCATTGCGGCTTCGATTCGGATTCAAGTTGAGATACTTATTTTAATTATGTATTTTTTTTTACAAAAATTCAAATATACTTAATTCCTCAAAATTGAAAATAAAATAATATAAAACATAAAAATAATGTAAGACAATATTTGAATTTACATAAAATAGTTGAATTAAAATATTTGGATGGAGAACAAATAAACAGTTTCAATATTTGGAACATTTTCTGTTATTTTTAGATATATATATATGTGTGTGTGTGTGTGCGTGACTATATTGATAATTTTTAAATATTTTCATATTTTTGAATATCTAATAGATATAAATTTTGAATAATTAAAATTTTAAACATATCATATTTTTGTATCCAGAATATTTTTAGTTTGGATTAAATCGGATATGTTTATCTGGATATTAAATTTGGATATTAAATTTTTAGATCCATCTAAGTACTTAATCAATTTTAGTTTTTGTTTAATATTACTTTAAATCTAGTTTGGTTCGGTTCTACAGATCCAAATATTTTAACCAAACTTGCTTTTTTCTACTAATATAAAACAAATAAAATAAATTTAAAACAGATATTTTCGGTTTATATAACATATATAATTATTGGACTATATTTTAATAATACCAATAAAAAGGTTGGCCATTATATCAATATTTTTGGCATATTTTAAAATTGACGTTGTCTGTAACCACTAATGTGTATTTTCTTATGAAAATATTATTAAATATAATAAAACACGATACAATTGAGTGAAAATGTTACTTATGCGTGAAAATAATAGGATCTCCACACTCGACACGAGAATTCTGTTTTCAAATTGATTTCACGAATCTTATTTTTAGGTTATTTCTGCTTTCTGAGTTTTTCTATTAATTTGATTATGTTTCTAATTTTTGGTTAAATGAAAAAAATTTAGTAAAGAAAAATAATATTTGGCTGAACTAAAGATCCGGTTTTGTGTGTGTAGTGTTTTACCTCAGTTTTTAAATTCATAAGCAATCACAATTATTTATTATATTCATATACATAAGCTTCAACCATAGCTAAGTTCAGTAATATATGAAACTTTTAATTTTTAAAAACATTTCCATTCTAGTATTTGGTTGATGCGAATCTTAATAATTTTGTAATTCTTTTTCTTTCAAAACTATATATTCAGTAGCTGTACGGGGAGAATTTCTATTCAGTAATAGAAATGTTAAAATATGCAGAAACTAAAAATGAACTCATTAAAATGTTTAATATAAATACATTAAATTATCTGCAATGAAATTAAAATTAGAATGTGAATGTATTTTTTATCAAATGAAAGTGAAGCTGACACGTAAACATATTCAAATTGAAATCAATGTGAAACTGACATATATTCAATGTAATGTGAAAATATTAAATGATAATACTTCTCTTTTAATATATTGGAGATATTATCATTTTTCGTAACTGTTTTGTTCTCGTTAACCTTTGTCACCCTTTAATTTGGTAATAAAATGAAGAGAAAGAACAACTTTTACCCCCGAACTTTTGTTCTCGTTTAATCTTTTAATCATAGTAAAATTAATAATATAAAGTGTATATAATTATAATATATATCTTTATTATATCTTTTCTTTTTGATAAAGTAAGCTATTTACTAAATCTAACTTTTGTTTACTGCGTTTTATAATTCTTTTAATCACATTCGGATTTGTGATTCATCCTAATATTAACCGAATATATCAAACTTTCAAATTAAGAAGAGTATTTGTACCGCATTAAGCCAAAGGTCGAAAGAAAAAAGAGCGTTTTTTTTTTTTTTTTTTGACAACGAACGGCTGATCTATTACTCAAGCTTGAGGTGGTTAAGAAATCCAGACCGGAATATAACAACCAATAAACATGAGTTCCCGATAAAAGGATCGGACAGTCTTAGCTAGGTGATCGGACGCAACATTTAAAGATCAAGGTACATAAGATATCTTAAAATCTGGGAAGCAGATCCTCAGCGTCGAGATCCTCTCTAATTCCGTTGAAAAGCTTGGCCATCCATGGGGATCCTTAAGCATTGCTAACAATTCCTTGCAATCCGTCCCAAAGCTCTGACATGGCGAATGTTGAAGCATGTTCTCCACTGCCCACCGCAGCGCTTCTAGCTCCGAATGCAACGCCGACTCCATTCTACTCACATTCCGCATCCCCATTAACTGGCTGCCACCCATACTATCCTTCCAATCCCAACCACAGCCTGAAAATTGATCTACAGAGGTCCAAGAACCATCTATCATGCAAATATCACCTAGGCTTATGGCCTGCGGGTCTGTATTACCATCCTCTTGTGTAACCTCAACCCCCTGCTCATTGGCTTGGAACCAGGCAAGACACTCGCTCTCTGCATACCGTGCCAACTCCAACGGGTCTCTGTCTATTCCTCTGAACAACTTGTCATTTCGAGCCTTCCAAATGTACCATATTAGCCAAGGATAAGGATCCTTGTCTAGATCTGGCCCACAGATAGCTTTCTTCCGCCAGAATAGATAATCCATATTCGCATATGTGCTTTCCAAGGGAAACAAAGCCAAGCTGGAGGGTATAAATGATAAGGCCCATACCTGTAAAGCCGGTGGGCATTGGAAAATTGCATGTGCAATTGTTTCATCCGGTTCACCGCACCGTGGGCAGAAGTTATCGCATCTCATATGTCTATGATTCAAAGCGCTCGTAACCGCCACCTGTCCCGAAATGATCTGCCACATAAGATGGCACAACTTCGGGGGTGCCTTAACTTTCCAAACTTGTGCTTGAAGCCTTTTAAAGCTAGGTTCATCTACCAAATTCTCCTCCTCCTTCATCAGTACATTACGAGCTACGCAATAGCCGGACTTGACTGTGTATTGCCCACTCCTAGTGTAACTCCAGCAGAATGTATCTCTACGATGGGTTGAACTGATTGCCATACTCCTTATGAGAGGTATATCATCAGTGTCAACATATAGTGCAAGCCGCTCCAGGTCCCAAGACTTTGTTTCTTAATTGATAAGATCGCTCACTCTCATATTTGGGTGCAACACCGGAGCTGATGCATGCGCTGGTCTTGCGGGGATTGTGGGAATCCACAGATCCTCCCATACCTTAACTTCATACTCTGAATGGATTTTTTTGTCTAATCCCCAATAGCAATAACTCCCGTGCAGCCGAGATGCTTGTCCACACATACGAAGGACTACTGACAGTGTGTTTTCGCAAAGGCGAACTCTGTCTATAATATTTCCCTCTCATAACACGAGCAACCAGTGAATCCAGATTTTGTGCCAGCTTCCATAGCTGCTTACCTAGTAATGCCAGGAAAAAAGAGCGTTTATACCGTACGCAAGATGCAATATATATAGACAACAGAAAAGTTAAGGGAACTTAATGATAAAAAGTTGAGTTATCATATTTCACCAGTATGTACCTAAAATACATAAGAATTAAGTGGTAAATTCTATAGCTATTCAATTTTTCCTACAAATTTTAAAGGTAAGCACCGATTAAAGACAAGGTTGGAATCGAGAAGGCTGTTGATATTTAAGTAGAAAAAAGAGAGCACCCGTATCGCAATATCTTAAGGTTCTAAAGAATGAAAATTAATATATTTTAAAAAGTTTTGTTACTAAATCAATTTTATGTTTTAGAGAAAGCTTAACTCGACACATGGCACTATTAGTTCCCCAGAGTATCTTAAGGGTTTTTTAATAAACTTTTGTTTTCTCTTTTCAAATTTCTATAATTTTTTCTTTCTCTAAATTACTTAGATATCCTTTAGGTATATCAGACTTTCAAATCAAGGTGAGCAGTATCATTTTCATGCGTAAGATGGATCACCTTCCACTATAGCTTGTCCCCGATAGTACTATACATGGTAGGTTCTCTAGACCATGGTCTACTCTTCGCTTTTTATGATTATATATGATCTCGTCACCAATGTGTTCAACTATGTAATTATACAACAAAGCCTTTGTAATTCGAGTTTGTTTTATTTTTTCTTCTGGGAAAATATTGAAAAGTTGTTAGCGTATTTCTACCATTCATTAAACTTTTTTTTTTTTGATCAAAACCATTCATTAAACTAAAATTGAAAAGTTCTTAGCGTATTTCTACCATTCATTAAACTAAAATTTTATTAAACTAATATCTGGGAACTATTAAATAAAAAATCGAAGAGAGGATAAGGAAAACCATAAAGCGGTCATTATAAGAAGGCATATCAAACCCTAATTAATAATCAATGGCAGAAAGAGGAATTAAATAATTTGCAAAGGATAAGTAGTAGGAGTGAACATTCAGAAAGAAACAGCTCGTTTTCGAATATTTTGGCGGTTTCAGGTTTATGGTGTGATACATTCAGGTATTTTTAAGCTTTGGATCATACGAAGTTTGGTTCTGTTGGTTTCTAGTCATATTAATATACCCGTTTATATTTGATATTTAGTTTTTTGGACTTTAGAAAAATGATTAAGATATCTTTATCCAAAATTTTATTAAGTATGTGAAGTTACACAAATTTTTAAAAATAAAATAAAATAGTAAATAACGTATAGACT